GTAATGTCAGAGGTCTAGGAGAGCATGCATAGTTCTGATGGTGCATTTGATGGTGCCTAGAAGTGGTAAGAGAATATGAGCATGACACGATGTTCTGGTGAGCATCCAAACAGATCAGCTAGCACCTATGAGGGCATGTGACCTTATTTAGTCTTCACAACCACTCTATGCCACCTGATTTATCACCTCAACATCAAATGTGAACCCCATCCCCCAGGGTCATGCCATTGGAACAAACCAAGGAGGAGCTTGAAGCTGTGCCTTTCTGTCATCCAAACTGACTCTTTTTTTATTGCATCTCTTACCACAAGTGGCTCCTCTGTGACCTAGTATACAACAGCAAGATGGCCGTTTCCAGTTCCCACTACCTTTCAGGGAGAAATCATTGGGACCTGGCACTAGGCTGGCTCCTCTCTGGTTTTTATGTCAGAGGACCATGCAGTCAGAAGCCAAGTCAATGTACCTCTTTGAGGCTAAAACTCCTCCATCTGCAAATGAGGCTATGATGCTAAAGCAAGGAGATCAGATGCCAGAGACATTTCGTATGCAGAACTGAGAGTATGCAGTGACTCATTTGATATATGACATGAAGCAAAGCAGACATTAAGGAGTGACTCTTCTGGCATGAAAAGATGGATACAAGGAGGAGCTGTCAACAGCATGGAAATATGAGAGGAGGAGCGACTTCCATGTGATTAAATCTTATCTGGAAATAATGAGATGCATTTTAATAACTTCTAGATGCAGTAGGGAGGTGCTACAAATATTACTATAGCACACTTTTTTGTCATTAATTTATTGTAGGACCTAGAATACAGTGGGCTACAAATTCATGATCTGTGAGGTCAGATCATCTTTGAGAATGATGATTTAAGAACATTTAACTATATTAAACAGTATTTTAAGTACTGAAAGACATTCTACTTTTCTGGTGAGACACGTAAGTCACACTGGAGAGTCTATTTGTTATGGCTATTGTCAAAGAGTTGTTAGGACAAATAAGCGACACAGAAGGATAGCCCTTCTACTATTGTGGCAGATTTTCACCTGTTCTCGCTGTGACGCAAATTGGAATAAGTTGACATATTGATACTTATTCCTATCACTATCATTGGTCTGAACACCATTGTTTCACTCTGGGAGGAAGCAAAAAAAAAATATATGTCCAAGTGTAAGATTTCAGAAGGGTAGTTAAAGACAGACAGTTCAAAACAGAAACAAAGGCATTGCCTTGTGCGGCTGACCAACGCGTTTATTCCTATACATCTAACTGTAGTTGACAACAGGCAAAATGGCTTATTTAAATCAATATAAGAGACTACTTGTAGTGAAAAACAATGACAGAGATTGTACTTTTACAAAGAACCTATTTACAAAAACACACCTGTATCCATCTCCTCAGCTAGGATACTCATGATCACACACAGTTGCCAGGCTGATTCCCAACACATTTCAGGCCTGTTTCTGCTCAAGGAATTTTATGAAAGCTATACATTCATTAATTTTCCAATATGATTAAGTGTTTTCAATATATTTTTACACTGATTTAGGTGTGGTTCTGAAAAAAAAAACACAACTCCTTACTAGCAACTGAGTGATAATAGATTAAAAGATAAATATGATTCATTAGAGGGATGTATTGTACAAGGAAACATATGCATGTTTCATGAGATGGAATTGAAATAGGGGCCAGAGATCCAGATAGATATTTTATAAAGATGATGAGGATCGCACATTGGTGTAGCACCAATAGGACTTCGTGATGGGCCGAAGGTCCAAGAAACAGAGAAACAGGTGGTAAAAATTGTGCTTACATTTGAGCAGTACAGAGTTGAGGTGGAAGATGGAGAAGCTGATTTGGTAATATTTATTTTGTTGTGTTGGTTAGACATACAACAGGAACTGCATAGTTTGATATCTGAATCCCGAAAGTTTGGCAGATTAAGGGCTGGAGGTACAAATCTCATGGACTTCTCCATTTTTATCCATAAGTCCAGTTAGGTAAAGCTCAGTGTGGAGAACAAGGGGAAAGAGTGGAAGATGGCCTGAAGCATCCACCATGCAGAGGTCTTCAGAAATGAGATAAGCTGAGAAGTTGACTGCACAGGACAGTCTAGGGTCAGAAACAGCATCTCCGCCACAATGAGGAGCAACACACTACAAAAAGAAAACTGTCTATAGACAATTCCAGGCCGAATGAGGACCACTGGACTTCTCCAAATCTAATATAGAGAACTGTGAGAGTGGAAGCTGTTGAAGATACTTGTCACAGACAGCACAATATGGCCATCCATCACTGAACTGTAATGGGAGCTTACATTAGATGGCATATGTTAAAATATGTATAGGACAGCATGATTATTCTAAGGTTGCACTGTTTTTATAAATTGAGTTTTGTATTGGTGAAATTATTAAGGCCACTCCATGTAGTTAAAAGGGAGGTTAATTTTGTGGGGTAACTTACAAATGAAGGGATAGTTTACAGGGTCTGGGAAAGGTGTGGTGCAGTCCGGCGGTATTCTTTGGAAAACTCTGCTCAGTCTAGCTCCAGCGTCCAGGGTCCAGTAACCAATAGGGCCGGCGCATCTGGATCTCAGGTCTTTAGGGTCCTCCCTTGGCCCTGCCTTGTAGGCGTGACAGTTATTGAAGTCTCAATGGGGGTTGGAACTTCCAGATCAAAGCTCGAATGGCTACCCACTACAGTTTTGCTATGTGACAGTTGCAAAAACGTGTATAGTATGTTCTGATTACTCTTTCCAGCTCTTGTCTCCCATCCATCCTGACCAACCTACTCCCCCACCCCTTCACTAGCAGCTGCTGTCTGAGTTTCATGACTTTGGTTTCGTTCTGTGACGCAGTTACTTTAACCAGGGCCATCCGTTACCCTCAGATTAGAAAGCACTAAATTTTAAAAAATAATAATGTGCATAAATCTGGATGTGGAAGCACAAACTCCTAATCCTAATGGCCAGGTCATCCTAGGTGACATACTGAGTTCCAGGCTATCCTGAGCTATATTGTGAGCTCTTGCCTCAAACAACAATGAAACAAATAACAGCAATATATGCATCTATAAAGCTTTCTTTACAAAGAAATATTCAATGAATCCAAACAACTATGTACGGTTTGGTAGGTGAATATTATCTTGACCATTTTGCTAATAAATATAACAGATGCTGAAAAGCTAATTTGATTTGATTAACATCATCCAGCAGGGGTCTAATAGAACTGTTCTGATACCAGTGCAAGAACAGTAGGACTCCTAACCTGTCTTCCCAAGCTAAGGAGGTACCATACCACTAGACTTCTTATGCGCATTTAGAATCACAGGCAATGTAAACAGGTTGGACTGGCTGCAAATCGCAGATATGCTGTGAATTATCTCCTTGTCGCGGGCAGTATGCACCATGAGCACCACATACAATGGTTGCGCTTAACAGAGTACTTTGAGAAGTCATGTGAAGCTATGACCTATAATTGAGTTTTTATTCCATCAAGGTTGCCATCTTTTGAAATAATGGCAAACTAGATTTTGTAAATGATGATTATTGATGAGACTCTTAAATTTAAAATTCTGTAGGCTACCTTCCTCACACTGTATACTATGTCACTTTTCATCTTCTATAAACACTTCACTAAATACACTCCTTTAATTTATGTTACACTCCCCAAAACGGTTCTCATAGCCACATTCCAAGTTTCTCCCCAATTTTCTTCTAGTAGGTTCCAGCTGACATGTTTCTGTTCACTTGTAAAGATTACTGATATTGATGAACAGTAACCTGCACTTGTTGGAAGGAGCTCCATCTACACCATCATCTGTTTCTTTTGGAGGTGGGGCCTCCTTCTGCAGTTCAGGCTTAACAGGACTCACTTTGTAGACCCAGTTGATTTTAAACTCAAGGGAGTCCTCTTGTCTCAACCTCCCAAGTCCTGGGATTACAGATATGAACCACCATTCTTATGTAAAGCATATTTTAATATGTTATTAGAAAACATTTTTAAGATTTATTTGTGTGTGTGAGTGTGTGTGTGTGTGCGTGCACATGAGCATGCCACATGTGTGCAGGTGCTTTTAAAGGCCTCTGATATGCTGGATCTGGAGTTACAGGCAGTTGTGAGTCATCTGATGTGGGTCCTGGAGACCCCATTCTTTCTTGTCTTTGGGAAGAGCAGCACTGACTACACTCTTAACTGCTGAGCCATCTCTCCGGCCCCTTTGTAGTTTTTTGAATGTAAGGACTTGTTTATCTATTTTTATTCTCTTTGGCTGTGCTTGGTATAGAATTCAGTTTTTTTGCCTCCCAGGAAAGTGCTCTATCACTGAGCTTCATCTCCAGCCCCTTGCATTTGTATCAAAGGCCCTACAGACTGATTAACGTTGGATAGGCAGAGCATCATGACTGTGAAGAGAAGAAATGTTGCAAGTGGAGATTCAAAATGATCTTGGTCATTGTTAGTCTCCCTAACAGCTGTGTGTGTTAACTTCTGAGTCTGGCATAACATTCTTATGAATATTGTGTAAACTTCTTGAATTGTATCACTAAGTCCAGATGACCTCTAAGCTCCGTCGACTGTGACTCAGAGGGCAATCAGCAGAACACACCATCTGAGACCTGCAGAAGAGACTCCATCTTGTAGCTACCCACCTACTGGAGGTTCCCACCGATGTGATTGATAAAACATGGAATTATGACTTTCTTTTATTCTGTGATTTTTTTTTAAGTTCATAGAACATCTTCCATGGTGGAATATATCATTCAATGTAACTTGAATCTTTGGTCACTCATATTTGGTTATTTAATTTATGTTATTTTATTTTAACAGAATCTATTAGTGAACAGCATTGCTTGTCACCGGGAGCAGGACTCACACCACTCCTAACCCCTTCCCCATCACTTTGCTCTGGTTTCTTGATCCACTATATTGTATTTTTTTTTAATTTTTGCTAATTTTTAGCTTATGTTTTTTCTCCCTGATGTAGTTCTAAGAACGCTTACCGTGGTGTGATGGGTTCAACTGTTGGTTTTCATTCTCACTTCACTTCCTGATCTTGTGAGAAGTTAGCGAGCTCTTTCCAGTACAATTCCATTTCAACTCAGCCTCCCCTAAAAAGAAACAACAGAAAACAATTTCCTTTTTATTCTTCTGAAAGTTTCCCTCTCACAATAAATTGTTGCCCTTTCTTCTTTCTCACTAATAAACACCCTTTACAGTGAAACATTGAGAAGTCAGAAAAAGGAGAAAGGATAACGTGGATGTTATTTTCAATTGTAGGAGAAACAGTTTATTTCACACAGTCATAAATGCCTACAATGAATTTTGACTTAGTCACACTTACTATAATTCGAGTTAAATTTAAAGTAACCTGAGTTAAGATGCAAACAAACTTCACAAAACCTAAGTAGGATAATATATACCCTAGCTTTTCAAGTCTGTAAATCTTAGTCATTCCTCTAACTAAATAGGTTATCCAGTCCCAAGTGATCATTCCTAAGGACATCTACATAGGAAGAGCCCCTAAAACACTCACAGACTCAGCAGGTTTCACACACACACACACACACACACACACACACACACATGAAATCATGAAGTGGAGAGGGAATGAAGGGCGTAGGAGGAACTGGAAGGGGGAGAGTGTGGGATAGCAATAATGTACATATAACACTAATTTTAACAAGAAATTGCAGCATGATGATACTGCTAAATGGCTGAAAAAGAAGAAACAATGAAAGAGATGACAGTCAACATGATATAGTTTACTAAAATTTCCTTCTAGTCTTTTTCCATGTAGAAGAGCTATTCATACAGGTTTGATTTCACTCATAAAAATAAGCAAAATAAACTACTATTGGCATAAATATACTGGTAATTCAAGAACTAAGCCAAGTAACCATAACATTTTGCACCAGTTAGATTATAAATTCAAGTGCATGTATGCATACTTCTAGGTTTCAGGAAAATGAACAAAATCATTGAAGCTAAAATTAAAAAATACTTCTCAATATGCAACTTATTCCCTTAAGTTTCACATCATTTGATTAGTAAGTATATTATGATTTTTTATTTACAGAATACTTTAGTGAAGTAAAACAGTATGCACCTAAGACAATTCACTGAACTGTTTACAGTAAGTTAAATGTAAAAGTCAACTCTATTGTTTCACATGTAAGAGGATGTGGAAGGATATTTTCCCTGGAGTTTATGGCCCAAGTTTACAAAATAAGGAGTAGTTAATACACAAGTTTATCAGTTCCCCAATGAAGTGTTAGTTGCTGAAGTTGGTCAAGTTACTGAAGAACTTAAGGGATGGGTTGTAAGTCTGCCTAGGTGTACCAATCTTTCTCATCTGCTAATGCCTGCTGGGGTGCAATGAAAACTCATGGCCTGAGGACAAAGTTTAAGGAGGCCCCTACACAACCCCGAGAGTAAATGTCTCCTGAAATGTGCTCTCTAGGCTTTATTGTCACTGGATACAGGTTTCCCTGTAGACTGGATGGTGCCTATGGTACACATAAACAGAAAAGCATAGTAACATAGAGGTAGGAACAGAGAAGAGGTGTGGGGGACTGAGACATGGCATCAGATGAGCTCAAAAATGCTGTCACTCAGAGATTAAGCCTGCAGATCAGTCTCTTTAGGGAGATATTTAGATCTGAGTCATCACCCCTTTCTCCTGTCCTCTTTCCTCCCAGTTCCCCTGGTGTTGGAGCTGCCTCCTCCCTGGGTGGGATAGTTGCCAGGAGGGTCAATGTGGATATAGTCTAGGTTTTTCCATATGCATAGGAAATATGCAATCTTGCTATGTCCAACAGTGATGCTCTGAAGTGTCTCAGTTGTCTCTCTTTCTTGAGTACAGTCTGCTGTGGAAGAATTACACTTATTTCTTGGTATTCAAAGAGTTTTGTTTCAGGACTCACGGAACATACCAAAATCCATGAATATTCAAGTTCTTTATTTATAGTGTCAGGTTTGCCTGTAACCTATGCACTTCATGCAGTGTACTTAAAATCACCTTTAAATCACAGTAGTTAGTACTAATAAATTCATCCATCCATCCATCCATCCATCCATCCATCCATCCATCCATCCATCCATCCATCATCTTTATCATCTATCTTTCTATCTATCATTGACATGTAATGCTATTGGAATAACTGTTACACTGTAAACAGTTATGTTTATGGCATAATGACAAGGGAAGAGGCTGTGAGAATATAGCGCAGTCACATTTCCCCTGAATATTGTTGATGTGATTGGTTAAACCCATGTAAGATAAACCAATAGCCACAGAGGGAAAATTACTTTGAATGTTCCTACCATAAACTCTGTCTATTTACATTGATAATGTCAATAAAAAACCAAACTCAAAGTTTTTTTTTTTTTAGCCAGATATAATAAGTACAGTTCTTCACAGCATTGTGGCTCATTCATTGGGACGTTTGACATCTTTGCCAGTGTCTATGTTGAGAGATCTTCAAATAAGCAGCAACTAATACATGCAGTGGTCCCAGGACCTCACCACATGGATGGATTTCTCTAGCACAACCAAGAATAAGCCAGAAGAACTCTCCTTACTCCCTTTAATGCCGACTGTTTAGGATCCCAGAAAAGTAGAGTGCTATTTCTGAAGGTTCCGATGAGTTCGCACTTGACAGTTCCATTTCAGACGATGAATACCTCTCGCTCAACTCTCCTGGATTTGACAGAGCCGTGCTTTATTTAGCATGCATCAGCAACAGGAGCAACAGTACCAAGGCAGCATTTGCAAAGTCAGTGAGTGATAAGAATTTTGACACACGCTTAAAGCACGTTGGCAATCTTAGCTTCTGTTTTATTTAACTTTTTATGTTTAAACTTTCTGTGTGTCACTGGGAGTGACATCACCAGAAAAATTGCTAGCCGGTGAGGACAAGCCAGGCTCTGGCCATGCACTGTCTATAATGCCTTTCAGTATGCAGAATGCTTCCAAAAGCGTTGCTTAGCTCACGTTCATAACAAGAGCCCTCAGCACTGTAGCAAGAGAAGCCTTGTCAATTGGTCCAACGCTGGGGATTCTTAAAGCTTTGCTAGTTAACATGCAAATCCTGTGTGTAGGAATTTTGGAATGCAGTTAGAATGAAGAATTGATTTTTTTATAGCATATAGATTTTTCTATTGCTTCTTGTCTTGTTTATAATCAATAAGTAGTCCCTGTCAATATCAAAGATGTTTTTTAGTGACTATATCATTATACCCTACTATATCATTATACAGAATTGTATTTCTCAGCTTTCAGGAATGTAAAACCTAACTGAATAATAATGATAAATGGAGATTGAAAAGCTATCACATTAAATAGAGCAACCATGTCCTTGAGAGTACTCAAACAAGAGACTATCAAATTAAGGAGGATTGTATTTTTCTTATGTGTTGGGAAATGTAGGAATTAGTAAAGGTCAAAATCCAGGAACTCTTGATTTAATTTATCACACTTCATTCCATTCTGTGTGTGTGTGTGTGTGTGTGTGTGTGTGTGTGTGTGTGTGTGTGTATGCTTGTGTGCATGCATGCACAAATGCACATATTGGACTACTTGAAACTTCAGTAAAACAACAGATTCATAATAATTGGCATATTAATGCATTTACATTTACAAAATAATTTTGCAATCAAATTCCTTTTGTTGAAAAACAAAAATTGTAGGAAGCCGCCATTCAAAGATGACGCTGGCTTCCTGGTAGCCTAGCTGTAAACAACTCCATATTTGGCTATGCTCTCGGGACTACTTGTCCTGTGACCTGCGCATGCACGGGTATGGTAATTGACCTTATGTCCTCAGCCTATCCCGTGGCTCCCTGTGTTTGCATTCTGGCGGGACCCAATCACAGTACGGCACGTTTGCCTGATTCCCTATATAAGCAGCTGCAATTTAGTTCTCGGGGCCCCTCACCTCCCGCTCTCCCTTAACTAAGAGGCGCTCCAATAAAGTGTGATCTGAGAAGAATCCTCGCGTGGTGGTCGTTCTTCCTCGCTGGCCGAGGAGCGTGCCGCAAAAAATGATATGATTTTAAGTGGAAAGGTGATGCAAAAATTATTATCTCCCATTTCAGGATAAATTATTAAACAAAACTTATGGGAGCCACTGTTTTAGACTAAGCTTCTACACTGTGCTTCAATGGGCTAGGCTAAAAATAAAGGTAGAGTCATCCATGCTACACTCCACATCACCAAGCAGTTATTAGGCTGTCTATATGAGCTCCTGAGAAATCAGAATTACAAAGATGATGGCCAAATTTTCCCAACAGGGCAGCTTCATGGCATGATAATTAAGTTCTCTCTATTTTAATCCTCACACAAAAGAAGTAACTTGCCATAACCTGGTGTCACCTAATCTGTAACATTCCCAGTGTTCTGGCTCCATGTCACTGATTTATAAGAAAACAATTCAGAACCAATATGTTAGAGGTCCTTCTTCTTCTTCTTCCTCTTCTTCCTCCTCCACTTCCTCCTCTTCCTCTTCTTCTTCCTCTTTCTCTTCTTCTTCTTTTTCTTGAACTATTTTTAGCTTTGGTTCATCTATAAACCCAAACTACTGCTGAACCACCAGAACACTTCTAATTTTTAGAATAAAATATTAAATGACTAAAAAGTAAAGTTAATTAATTATCATTAAGCTTATTGTCCTTTAACAAAACAAAACACAAAGCTTAGCAACTTGACCAAGATATTACTAAGGATTAGTCAGCATTTGTTGAAATTTCATTGAGTGCTTCTGTGAGTACAGAACAAAACAGCAAAGTAATTCAGATTTCAACGGAAGTGAAGAGTAAGAGCCAGTGTACAGATTTGAGAAACAAAAACAACAGGCAGGCTTATAAGCCCTGGCAAGTTTTATGTAAACACTCTTCTCACTAGAACCAAAGAACTGATAAGACAGGGACAGTCTGCATGGGAATTGAAAAAATATACACAAAGTTATTGAGTTTGGGATTTTTTTTTAACTTCCTACAATGGGAAGTAAAAATCCAATCTCCTTGCATCTCTGTACCTACTCAACCATACAAATACAAATAGCTGCAAGATAAATATGGCGAGCTAAGCATCTACATACAGGGCAGAGTAT